TCAAAGGCGTCCATTCTTCTTCGGTCTTCCTTACTCATTGTCCAGCTTTCACATGCATATGAGGCAACTGAAAATACCATGGCTTGGGTCAGATTCACCTGAGTCTTCAAGGTGACATCTTTGCTTTTCAACACTTTAAAGAGGACTTTTGCAGCAGATCTGCCCAATGCAATGCATCTTTTGATTTCCTGATTGCTGCTTCCATGGGCGTTGATTCTGGATCCAAGTAAAATGAAATCCTTGACAACTTCAATCTTTTCTCCGTTTATCATGATGTTGCTTCTTGGTCCAGTTGTGAGGATTTCTGTTTTTTTGTGTTGAAGGCTGCAGTCTTTGATCTTCATCAGTAAGTGCTTCAAGTCCTCTTCACTTTCAGCAAGCAAGGTTGTGTCATCTGCATAACGTACGTTGTTAATGAGACTTCCTCCAATCCTGATGCCCCGTTCCTCTTCATATAGTCCAGCTTCTCAGATCCATTTGCTCAGCATACAGATTGAATAGTATGGTGAAAGGATACCATCCTGACGCACAACTTTCCTGACTTTAAACCACGAAGTATCCCGTTGTTCTGTCTGAACAACTGCCTCTTGATCTACGTACAGGTTCCTCATGAGCACAGTTAAGTGTTCTGGAATTCCCATTCTTCGCAATGTTATCTGTAATTTGTTATGCTCCACACAGTTGAATGCCTTTGCATAGCCAATAAAACACAGATAAACATCTTTCTGGTATTCTCTGCTTTCAGCCAGGATCCATCTGACATCAGCAATGATATACCGGGTTCCACGTCAGGTCAGAGTCTACCCCGGAGGCGTGAGTTCGTATCCCACTCCTGACACGACAAGCAGCACTTAGGAAGTAAAATTCATTGTGATAAACAGAAAGTGTGAGTGGTTTGTCTGATTACCCTTTGAAAATGATTTTTTTTTAATGTAGTATAATGCCCATGCTGTAACTTTTGCTTACAGTTTCTGTCATGAATAGGACTAAAGTGCAACTTATTTGCATCTTTACAAAGACAGAAGAAATCAAGCTTAGTAAAATTTCAAACTTTCTACAAGGTGAATTAAACTTCCTTTTGCTGAAAACATTCTTATAGCTAGAAGAAAAAAAAGCTACAAGGAAGAGTATTAAAACCAGATTTCTTGTTTTTATATAGAGACCTGCCTTCCATTTTTTTATCCACCAAATTATGAATACAACAAACAGAATTAGAATGCATGAGATATCAAAGTTAGGTACTACAATTCTTCTAGGGATATTCACAGTTGTTTTCCATTTAGGTTTATTCAGATTCAGTTCTCTATCTCATCCCTGCCAACACAGCAGCCTCTGGGTACACAATATAAAATATTAACCAAGAAAGGAAACAAGAAAACTTCCAGTTACTTCTGTCCAAATAATTCACTTCCTCTAACTGACGAGCCTAAGGGTTCTCTGTGGCTCTTGAGGGACATGACCAATTATTCATACCAAAAATTTCTGAATGACTTTCATGCACTCCTCAGATCTGTGAAATGAGAATGTAGTGGAAATCGAATGACGTTGCTCGGCATGTCATCCTATAGTCTTTCCTGTACCTTCCAAGCACACAGGCTGGAAAGCACAGTGGCACATCTAAAAACCTGTCACAAAGATGACAAGCTTTAACTCCATCCAGGTAAAAGACAACTCCACAAAGCTTCCCCAAGCTTCAATCAACCTATTCTGTATATTAAAGTAGCTTCCTAAAACACAGCTTCCACTACTCGTCTCCCTTGTCCGATAACGAATAATATAGTAAGCTCTACCAAATGCCCCTACAACTCATCTATCAGTCTGTCATACCGTGGTGGCTTGCATGTTGCTACAATGCTGGAAGCTACACCACTGGTATTTCCAATACCATCAGGGTCACCCATGGTGACAGGTTTCAGTGGAGCTTCCAGACTAAGACAGACTAGGTAGAAAGGCCTGGAGATTTACTTCCAAAATTAGCCAATGGAAACCCTATGGGTCACAACCGAACACTGTCTAACTCACTTGCTTTGGACACGTCGTCAGGAGGGATCAATCACTACAGGAAAACACCATGATTGGTGAAGTGGAAGGCCAACAAGGATGTGGAGACCCTCAGTGAAATGGACTGGCATAATAGTCGCAGTGATGGAGTCGAACATGCCAGCAACTATTAGGATGATGCAGGACCAGACAATGTTTTGTTCTGTTGTACAAAGGTCTTCATGAGATGGAGTCAGCTTGACAGCAGCTAACAAAAACAACAACCAAGTACCCAGCACCATGCTAAGCACTTTATGTGATTGTTTATTTTTTTATTCCTTGCAGCAACCCTGTGAGACAGAAAATCACTGTTCTCATCTTATGAACAAGGAACTGGTGGCACAGAGAATCTGCCTGACAACCAGGATCACGCAGCTCATAAGGTCAGAGGCAGGAGCAGAAGCCAGGTAGCCCTCCTCCTGCTGCTAGACCACCTCCCATGACCACTGTGCTCTGCTGGCAGCATAACACCTCCTGGTCTGGCACCAGACAAGCTTTACAACCTTCTCTCCACTCTTTCCAGCACAAAACCTTTACTCAACAATTAGATCAGGCTTCTCACTGTCCCTCAAGCACACTGCTGAACCTCTACCTCTAGCCTTTGCCCACACTGCTCCTCACTAACTGGAATGCTCTCCCTCCTCCTCCTCTTCACCATCCATTAAAGCCAGTCCCAATCCTACCAAATCCATTGCATCAAGTTGATTCCAATTCATAGCGACCCTCTAGGACAGAGTAGAACTGCCTCATAGGATTTCCAAGGTTGTAAATCTTTACAGAAGCAGACTGCCACATCTTTCTCCTGCGGAGTGGCTGGTGGGTTTGAACCACCGACCTTTCGGTTAGCAGCTCGGCACTTAACCACTGCACCACCAGGGCTCCTCCCAATCCTACATCTGCCACAAATTGCCCTTTCTTCCAGCCATTCTACCTCACTGGAGCCTTTCTTTTCTGAGAACTGCTGGAGACCTATGCACCTGGTAATTCACCAGTTTTGTATTGGTATTTATGTTTCATGTTGATGTGGTCTAGCAGATCAGAGGGTAAACAACTTGAGGGCAGGGACAGGTAGAGTCCAGCAGGGGTATGTGGGCCTATAAATGTTCGCTGAATTTACAATAGCCTCAATAACAATATTGTAAGTGAATTTAATACAACACAGTGTCATGGAGTAACACTCTAGAAAAATATCTCAAGACATTTGGGATAAAATTAAAGGTGTCATCCAACTTCTAGAGTATTCTTCAACCTAATGACCAATTTCCCAGCTAATCACATCCAGTCAGTATGCCCTTCTGCATTTGGATATAGCAAGTAAGACTATCGATTTGTTTGTGCATAAACCGTCAGGGACACATATGGGAGCAACATTCAAATACAGCACTGGAAATATAATGAGGAATCCAAATTTGCTGGAATCAAAATAATGCTTGGCAAAACACTGATGAGATGGGAAATTAAAATAAAACACATTATATTCCTTTTTTCTTTGGATCATTTATTCACCAAATACTTCCTAGTACCTAATGCATATAGAACACTGTTTTGGACACTGTGGAGGATGCTGCCATAGTCCTCCTGGGTTTGTTTCTGTGAAGCAGCTCACCTGCCTGAGAAGTTTTCAATGTCAGAATGAAAATATGAGAATGAAAATATTCTTCTACATTTGAATGAGGGAACAGGTGAAACTTGCTCTCCTATTTACTACTATTCCCAGAATTAATACTCGTGTATTAAGAAAGATAAAAATCTGGGCCAGAATCTGAAACATTTCTGATTGTCTGTGATTTTTTTAAGTGTTGCTTACAGGAAAGAGAAAAGGAGAGCCCAAACAGCAGAAAGCAGGTGTGGTCTAATTGGTACCAGGTGTCTAGCACTAGAGGCACTGAAACAGCCTTTCTGCTTGCCACAGATCTTTGGCACCCAGCCACGGCCAAGCCTCTGAATGCTGTGACAGTGGCATGCACAGAACTCAGGTTCTGCCTACCCTACACTTCTATAGCAACCACTGAACCTCTGTGGAACAATGTCATACCAGGTTAGGACAATTACACGTGGCCATTAGAAATCTTGTACGAGTTGGAATCGACTTGATGACAACGGATTTAGATTTTTTTTTTGGTTATTAGAAATCTTCAGGTGCCATCCTCTAACAAAGAAGACTTGACAGAAATCTACTGGTTTATGTATCTTACTAGTCTATTTCCAGGTGAGCCTTTAGAGGGAATGCTTTCATAGTGAGGCTATATTAAATGTCCTTCTATAATACGTATATTACCAAGAAAGGAGGAATAAAATCCCTTCTAACTCCACATAGTTCAGTGAGCATATAAGTATGTGTTGTGACCAGGAGAGGGGTCACAAGAGCTATAGCCCTTTCTGGCAGATGAGGGGGCTCTAGAAGCAGGTAGATTCTTTGCAATGGGGGGAAGGGGTCTAACATCCCTCAGTGGGGAGATGGAGGTCGGTGCTCTGGAAAAAGGGGAACTAAGAGATAGCAGTGGGACATAGGAAGCTGTGAATCATTTATAAATCAGAAATTGCCCAGACTTTACTGAACTCTAAGCCTGTTATCAGCTAAGTATCTAAATGGCACAAATACGAAAAGATGCACATTGTAGTGACTAAACAAAAAACACTCATTGTGGACATCTCCCAGAAGCTGTTAAATGAGTTGGCAGGTGCACATGGTTTCACATTCACTCATTTCTCTACGTCTATTCAAAACCAAACCCACTGCCATAGAGTCGATTCCGACTCATAGCAACCCTATAGAACAAAGCAGAACTGCCCCTTAGGGTTTTCAAGGCTGTAACCTTTACACAAGCAGACTGCCACATCTTTCTCCCACAGAGCAGCTGGTGGGTTTGAACTGCTGACCTTTCAGTTAGCAGCTGAGTGCTTAACCACTGCACCACCAGGGCTCCTCAACGCTCATTAGTAGCTGCTCAACTGGGATGACTATCATTTCCTGTCAGCTGTGTCCTCTCATTTCCTGTGTATCCTCTAAGAGCTCCACAGAGGGATTCCTTCACTTTTAAACTTCTCTTCTTATATAAGGAAGAGCCCATGAATTCCTAATAGAATGAAGAGCAAATATAAAAGTCAGATGAGTAAACAGAATTTTGTCAGAAAAAAGAGAGGGTTACTGATAAAAAAGGAAATAGATTAAACAAGATTACTAAGCAATACAGAATGCCACATACATCTGGAATTTTTATGAATGTAGTGGTCACAACACACTGCAAATGGCTAAGATGCCTGTCTAGAAATGGCTTTTAAAGGAGAAAAGAAAATTATTTGATTAAAAGCCCTACCGAAATCTGCCAATGGCAAGGAGCTCATACTACCAACAAAGCAAGAAAAATTAACTTTCTTTTTAATGAGAGATCAAACTGCCTAACTTCCCTTGGTAGCAGTAACATTAGGTCTGACTAAGTGAATGCTGGTAGAAGTGCATCTACCACCGAGGCTGTCACCGTTTCTCCTGATCCAGGAACCAGAAGCCAGCTCCCTGAAAGGTCAGGATTTTAAGAGAAATGCAAAAGTAAGTAAGTTTGGGGAAACAACATTCCTCATTATCACTATTTCTGGGAATCAAGTAACTGGGGTGGGGCTCTTCTCTCCCCCATGTCTAACACAGCTCATATATTCTCCAAAAGACCAGTCTCTTCCATGTTAATAAGCTGATTTTTTTCAGAGTAGTACACGAGGAACAAGATGTGTTTTAACTCTTCTGTATCAACTTAATTGGAGCCCTGGTTGCACGGTGGTTAAGCATTCGGCAGCTAATAAAAAGATTGGCGGTTCGAACCTACCAGGCAAAGATGTGGCAGCCTGCTTCTGTAAAGATTTACAGCCTTGGAAACCCTGTGGAGCAGTTCTACTCTGTCCTGTAGGGGTTTTTTTTTTTTTTTTTTTTTTTAATATCAACTTACAGACTTCTATACTCCTTCTATTCCAAGTGTAGTCCACAGACCATCAGCTTCACCAGGTAGCTTGTTAGGAATACAGAATTTGAGGTCACAGGTGATTGCTGTGCTCTTAAAATTTGAGAAGCACTGTCAATGTACTAAAAATATTTCTCACTCCTGGGATTAAGTATTTGTTTCACTAGATGCCATGGATCAGGACAGTTAGATAGTCAGACCAACTCTAGGACAACTTGAGAATCAAGATGAATGAAAGTAATGGATTATAACACATCAAATTTAAAGAAAAGAATCCATGAGGCCATATTGGTAACAAACAAGCAAGCAATTAAACAAATGCTGGGAGGGTACACTCTTCTTTATAGTAGAATGCCAACTGATAAATGTATATAAGGAATGAAAGATATAGAAAATCACCATTTTGCAATTACTCTTATTATAATGGAGCCCTGGTGGCACAGTGGTTAAGAGCTTAGCTGCTAACCAAAAGGTTAGTAGTTTGAATCCACCAGCCAATCCTTGGAATCTATATGGGGAAGTTCTACTCTGTCCTATAGGGTCAGTATGAGTCCAAATTGAGTCAATGGCAACGGGTTTTGGGTTTTATCATTATTATGGATTCAGGCAAGACTCTCCAGGAATCCTAAAACTATTAGACGGAAGTTTGCTGGGGAGAAAGATGTTTACATAGTTTTACAGAATTTCCCCACAGATTGTTTATGAATTACAAACGGAAAAAGGTACCTTTACAGTGAAGAAATCTGTTGGACAATTCCTAAACCAAGTGAACAAATTTAACTTTACTAGTAGTGGGACAAACTGATATCATGTGCCTCCTGATGTGATGCACTCAGGAGGCTATATCACCTATGTAATATTTCTGCCAAAAATACATGACCTGACTCTAATTATGAGGAAACAGAAGATAAGCCCACATTGAGAGATGCTGTACAAAACAAATGGCCTGTACTTTTCAAAAATATCAATGTCATGAAAGAGAAAGAACTGAGAAACTGGAGAGTAAAGAGACTTAATAACTAAATAGAATATGTGATTCTGGACTGTTTCCTGGATTGGAAATTCTTTGCTTTTCTTATTGTTATTGTTAGAAAGGGCATTACTGGAACAGCTCTGCAAATTAGATAATACTACTGTATCAATGTAGAATTTCCTGAATGTGGCAACTGTATCTACTTCTTCTTAGGTGACACAAACTGAAGTATTTAGAGGTCGTATTTGCAACTTGTGGAGTCCCTGGGTTGCAGAAATAATTAAGTGCTCAACTACTAGCTGAAACGTTGGTGGTTCGAACCCACCAGAGGTGCCTCGAAGACAGGCCTGGTGATCTTCTTCTGAAAGGTCGCAGCCTTGAAAACCCCATGGAACAGTTCTACTCTGCACGCATGAGATCTCCATGAGTTGGAATTGACTGGACAGCAACTAATAACATTTGTAACTTACTCTTAAATGGTTTGGTGAAAATTATAATGATATGTATGTGATGATATCTATTTATCTATCCACCTATTATACAGATAGATATATATCTCTATTATCTATTATCTATAGATAGACATTATCTATCAATACATAGACATATATCTATTATCTATAGACAGATATTATCTATAGATAACTATCTACAGATAATAAAAATATTTTTATTCGATAATAGAGATATCTATCTATAGATGATAGAAAGCAAATGTGGCAAAACGTTAACAAATGATGAATCTAAGTCAAAGGTATATGGGTGTTCACTGAACTATTCTGGCAACTTTTCTGTAGGTTTTGAATTTGTCAAAATAAAAAGTTGGAAATAGAAAAAAAAGTAGAAGACTAGAAAGTAATGCAATAACGAATGGCCTCACCATACAACTTCTAGCAGAAGAATACAAAACATATTACCAATTGCACCTTCCCTCCTCAAGTGATTCTGAAACTGAATGCAAGTAAATGACAGGCTAAGAAAATTCCTCTTTAAAAGATTTCTAGGAAAAAGCACTTTCTAAGTTAAAAACTTCTGCTTTGGAAGTGTACTTCCAAATTTCTTATATAACAGTCACTGGAAATACAGAGTAAACCAGACAAGCTTCCTGCTCTTGTGGAGCTTAAATTCTAGTAGATGGAAAGTGATAATAAACAAACAATGTCAGGTGGTAATAAACGCTAAGAAGAAAAATAAAACAGGGCAGTTGGGGAAGAACTCTCTTATAAGGTGATATTGAGCAGAGACCTGAAAGAGGTGTGAGATTACACTGTGTAGGTAACTGGGGGAAGAGCATACGAGGCAAGGGGAACAGCATGTGCAAAGGCACAGAGGCAGGATGGTGCTCAGGTCAAGTTAGAGAAAGTACGGGGGGAGCATATGAGATGAGATCGGAAATCATACAGGCCCTCATCGGGCTTCAAGACTTCTTCATTGATCCTGAGAAACTGATTGCTGCCTCCTACCTTTTCCATCTATCCAGCGTCCCCCTTGCTTCAGACAGCGAACTAAGCAGTCGCATTATAATGAAAGGATCACTGGAAGGAAATACAGCCAAGTTTGCTCCCTTCATTGTGCAAGGCCCCGTGCAGGCTTCCCCTTTCTGCTGGTTCCTCCTTGAGTTATTTCTTCCTCATACTCCAACACACATTCCATCTAACTCCTTTCTCCCTTCCGCTCTCAATCCTCATTCAAAGGTCTCAAAAATTTTCCTTTTGGTTTGAAAGGTTAAAAAAAAAAAAAAAATCCCAATCATAGCTAACAAGCTTGAGTCATATTTCTAACATCCAGTGCCTGTTCTTACAGAAGTCACCATCCCTTCCCAAATGTTGTTTTGAAAGGAAATGATGCACAACAAAACATTATGCCATTAGCATAAAAACATCTTTGCAAATACCCAGAAGGTGCTTCAAAAAAAGGCTATATCTACCTCTAATCTCCTCTCATCAAACCTGTTTTTTCAGGTTCTGCCATTAAGTTCCTTGAAGGCAAGGACCATCTTGTTCCCTCCTCTATCCCTAGTGACAAGCTTTCTTGTTAAGCTGGTGGGGATATACCAAAATGTTGACATACTGTGTCTTTCAGCTCCATTAACTGTAAATATATTTTAAAGGATTCAGATGCAGTCTGATGCAGGGCACAGCACTTGGCACATAGTAGGAACTCACCAGGTATTTGATGGATGGATACATGGTTAGATGGATAACTGCAGATCAGATAGGACTTTGGTGGGCTGGCCTGTAAAACCCATTATTTATAATATTTATGACATTTCTGGGGGAAAAATACACTTTGAGCTTGGCTCATAACAATTCGTTTATAAACAGATTTTAGAATACAATCTTGTTGCAACTTGTAATACTCATATCTGGGACTGCAGGTAGATTTTACTCAGATTGTGAAGGATTTAGATTTTGAGAGTAGGGGACAAATATTTGCTTTGTATTAGCTGAGCTGAGTGCATACAGATTAAAAATTTCTAGTAATCTGGAAATCAAGAAAAAAAGGTATTCATTCAATAATATCCTTTCAAAACATTTAGGAGCAGCTATGCACAAGTTTGGGTGACATGGAGAATCAAAGAAAATGAAGATTTTGCTCAACTTAGTAACTCTAGTGATAAATAGAAATATATCCAATGCTTTAAATATAATTACATTTACAGATCTAATCTCACTGGACTTTAAGGACTAGGATCCTAAACCTGTATTACATATTGTGTTTGGTTTACCCATAAAATTGTTATAAGTTGTTTATGTAGATAAAAATTACAAATTTACTAGACAATTTGGATATATTTTTTTTCAGTTTAAATACAGCTACACACTCTGAATTTTAAGAAAATCTTCGTTTCTGGCATTTTATGAGCAAGAGGCTGAAACTTGAACACCAAAGAAACTTTCAACATTGTACCCAAATAAAGGCAGTTTATTACATTTCTTGAACTTGGTGACCTGTACAGTATCAAATCAATACCAAAAGTACTCATTTTCAGAGAAGAAACAGAGGCAATTAAAAAGGGGAAGGAGTTTGAGGAAGACAGAGGGAAAGAATATAACAATAAATTGGGAGTGGGGGAAATTTGCTATGTACAACTAATTAGTTTTATTCTCTGAGCTGTTCCTCCTAGCATTTTCTGGGTCCTTATATTTATCATCCTCTAAGACTCTTGAGAACCAAAGGTTTGTCTGTTAGAAATGGTTCTACCATAGCATATCAATTTACTCTTTGTTTTAGTAACTTTAGACCAATTTAAAAAAAATACGCTGCAGAGAATAGAAGAGTTTGATATAAATGACCAATACGGAACTTAAATGGAGTATGTCTCTATGATGCTCAAAGCTTGGCAAAGCCCTAAATTAAACACCCAATCATGTGCAGCATTTGAAATCCCTGTCTATGATCGAGTTCTAAATGCATTCCTTGTTTTGTGATGGAGTCGAACTGATCATTCAATCATCCCCACAAACACTGTTTTGAGAGGCCACGATGTACCAGGTACTGTGCCAGGTGCTTGGTGCACAGTGGTGAATAAGATAGACTTGGCTCTCTCCTCATGGAGCTTACAATCTAAAAGAATTAAATATTAATTAAATTAAATGAATATAAATTAATAAATACAGAGACCATCTCAAGAATAGATTTGATGCATTGAACACTAATGACTGAAGACCAGATGAGCTGTGGAATGACATCAAGGACATCATACATGAAAAAAGCAAGAGGTCATCAACAAAACAGGAAAGAAAAAAAACAAAACAAAATGGATGTCACAAGAGACTCTGAAACTTGCTCTTGAACGTTGAGTAGCTAAAGCAAAAGAAGACACGATGAAGTAAAAGAGCTGAACAGAAGATTTCAAAGGGCAGCTTGAGACAAAAGGGAAGAACACGCTCGGAATTTCTCAAGCTGAAAGAACTGAAGAAAAAATTCAAGCCTCAAGTTGCAATAGTGAAGGATTCTATGGGAAAATACTGAACGATGCAGGAAGCATCAAAAGAAGATGGAAGGAATACACAGTCACTGTACCAAAAAGAATTGGTTGACGTACCATTTTCAGAGGTTGCACAAGATAAAGAACTGACGGAAATGAAGGAAGAAGCTGAAGCCGTACTGAAGGCACTGGTGAAAAACAAGACTCCAGGAAGTGACGGAATACCAACTGAGATGTTTCAACAAATGGATGCAGTGCTGCAAGTGCTCACTCGTCCATGCCAAGAAATTTGGAAGACAGCTATCTGGCCAACTGATTGGAAGAGATCCATATTTACACCTATTCCCAGGAAAGGTGATTCAACTGAATGTGGAAATTATCAAACAATATCATTAATAACATACACAAACAAAATTTTGCTGAAGATCATTCAAAAGTGGTTGCAGCAGTACTTCAACAGGGAACTGCCAGAAATTCAAGCCAGATTTAGAAGAGGATGTGGACTGAAGGATATCATTGCTGATGTCAGACGGATTCTGGCTGAAAGCAGAGAATACCAGGAAGATGTCTATCTGTGTTTTATTGACTATGCAAAGGCATTGGACTGTGTGGATCATAATAAATTACGGATAACATTACAAAGAATGGGAAATCCAGAACACTTAACTGTGCTCATAAGGAACCCGTACATAGATAAAGAGGCAGTTGTTCGAACAGAAGAAGGGGATACCATGTGGTTTAAAGTCAGGAAAGGTGTGCGTCAAGGTTATATCCTTTCACCATATTTATTCAGTCTGTATGCTAAGCAAGTAATCTGGGAAACTGGACTATATGAAGAAGAATGGGGCATCAGGATTAGAGGAAGGACACAACCTTCCTTGCTGAAAATGAAGAGGACTTGAAGCACTTTCTGATGAAGACTAAAGACTACAGCCTCCAGTATGGATTCCACCTCAACACAAAGAAAACAAAAATCCTCACAACTGGACCAGTAAGCAACATCATGATAAATGGAGAAAATACTGAAGTTGTCAAGGACTTCATTTTACTTGGATCTATAATCAATATCCATGGAAGCAGCAGTCATGAAATCAAATGACATATTGCATTAGGCAAATTTGCTGCAAGAGACCTCTTTAAAGTGTTAAAAAGCAAAGATGTCACCTTAAAGACTAGGGTGCAACTGACCCAAGCCATGGTATTTTCAATCGCCTCATATGCATGTGAAAGTTGGGCAATGAATAAAGAAGACCAAAGAAGAATTGACAACTTTCAATTATGGTGTTGGTGAAGAATATTGAATATACCTGGACTGTCAAGAAAACGAACAAATCTATCTTGGAAGAAATACAGCCAGAAAGTTCCTTAGAAGGGAGGACTACGTCTCACATACTTTGGACATGTTATCAGGAGGGATCAGTCCCTGGAGAGGGGCATCATGCTTGGTAAAGTACAGGGTCAGGGAAAAAGAGGAAGACCCTCGATGAGATGAACTGACACACTGGCTCCAACAATGGGCTCAAGCCGAGCAATGATTGTGAGGATGGCGCAGGACCGGGCACTGTTTCATTCTGTTGTGCCTAGGGTCGCTATGAGTTGGAACCAACTCAATGGCACCTAATAACAACAACAACAAGAGTATCTAAAATAGTTACTTGGGAGCAAAGTTCTAATAAAAGGAAGAAGCACTAACATAAAAAGTTTCTCATGAAAACCGTAGTATCACAGAACTTTAACAATCCAAGAGACCTTAAAGGTCATAAGCTCAATTTATCACCCAGAGTTGGAATCCTGCCTAAAAGATCACTAACAGATAGCCCCCTTCCCACTGCAAGCTTTCTTGGAATTTTTTCATGAGGGGTAAAGAATGGACAAAAATGTATACAACTTAAAACATTATATTTGCAATTCTAAAAAAAATTCATTTTTATAAATGCAAATAATTATTCAAAAACACGTTCTCTAAATTTTATCACTCTCTCATTTGTAGTTGTGATTACATGAAATGGAACATTTTTACAATTTTATTATGTCATGCTCTGCAAACTCATAATCAACTACAGTAAACATCAACAAGTCACACAATCACACTATGAAAACTGCATAAAAATGTTACATTAGCTTATACTGACATAGCACTCATTTCAGAAATGTGGGTCTTGCAGAAATCATTAGGTTCACAAAAATTAAGCTGATCCTAAAAAAATCAGGACTAAGACTTTTACCTACCTGCACTTGCTTCTGTTATTCACAAAATGAATATATTAAAAGAATAAACGAACTTTGTCCTTAACAACCTCTAGGATGCAAACCACACTAGCAAAATCGTTTAACCATCTGCACATGCACAAAGCAGCATCAATGATTTTGTGTTCTGGAACCAGATCACAGCCAACAAGTGTGCTCATCCCTTTATGCAATTCCCAGGCATCGATTTTTGGGTTGCTGAAGTATGTCACCCAGCGAATATCAAACTCCTCATCTGTCTCATGAAACCCATGGGAGTGGCAGCGAACTGACTAGACAGTGGCTGTGGGGTGAGGAGACAGGTATTTTAGCTTAACTAGTAAAGAATGTCTGCCTTGAGCATTGTGCTCTTTCAAGACCTATCTATATGCGATCAAATTTACAACAGCAACTTGAAAGATCTGATAGGAAACTTAGGGCGCAGTGAGTTTATGTTAATGGGGAAGGAACAACTCAGAAAAGGAGGGTGAGAATGGTTGCACAATTCAAAGAATGTAATCAATGTCACCGAATTATACATGTAGAAACTGTAGAATTGGTGTATGTTTTGCTGTGTATATTCTCAACAACAACAAAATAAATAAAATTAAAAAAAAGACCCATAAAATATACTTCAATTTCAAAATTATAATGAAAAGCAAACAAAAATGTTAGAGAAAGTAGAAAACAATAAAGTAAATTTCCATTTAACAGGTAGTTGATTTGTTCGAATATCGTTTTCAAGAAGTTAAAAACAGGACTCATACAAATACAAACTGAGTATGTGTCAAACATTTAACTCATTAATGAGTAAACCACCAGGGTGATAAGTCTGGCTTAAATACAGGAAAGACTGAAGTATATATAGTCAATGAAAGACAGAATGCTGAAGAATGAATGTTAATTTAGATACAAAATTGATCAATGTCCTACGGAGCAATAAAAGTGCAACCTTTCAGGGTTATCTTCTCCATCAGACAGAAATCATTTGCAAGTTGTCAATCCACAAGTTAACAACTAACTTCACAGAATCTGGAGCCTCATCAATAGCAAACAGTCAAACAAAAGTATATTTCCCTAGAGAATTAAGGGATCCTTGGCTGGGTCTGTCTGAAAATGCTCCGGTATGACACTGAAATGACATGTGATCATCCTCGTGCCTTATTCCCAAGTGTCAGAAAATTTTTCCTAACACTTTAAAATATAATAAAACCTTGGCTATACAAAACCCTCATGAATGGATTAAATCCTGACAGTGGCATGCTCCAGAGACTAAAGTAGCCCATAAAGTGCTTAGTACCATGGGGGACAGTGGTGGCTGGACATTCCCTCCCACCAAGGCTGACAAATCACTATTTTTTGTTTGCTGGCTTGTTTTTTGTCTCACATTTGGTCTCTATTCTTCTACATCATAAAATTTGCTGCCTACCCTGTGTTGCCTCTGGTCATTTCCACCAACATACATAACTGTTTTTCTTCCTTTGAAAATAATCTCCTTGTATGAAAATTAATAATGTTGACCTTTAACCAAAGAGTGTCTAAGTCCTCCAACATGAATACACCCAAAAGTTCTGAGTCATAGTTTGGTAATAAGCATTGTATTAGGCAGCATAAATGTTTAATCTCTCTACCAATTTACCCCTTGACCCAGTATTAAGAAGTACGTTGAAAACTTTTATTATTTAAGATTAATAACTTAACAATCTCTATTAATTGAAAACAAGAAGGAAATTTTTAAAGGCTTCTAAGGAGTCAAATATAGCAAAAATTTGTGGTTCTCTATTACATTACAGTATCCCTCATTTAGAGCCTTAATAATTAACCATAATGATGGCTACTATACAATGACCACTCATTAAGTACCAGATACTGTGCTAAGGGCCTTCGAAGATTTATCCCATTTAATTTTCACAACAATCCTGAGAACTAGTTTGTATTATTAGCCCCATTTTTCAGATGAATAAACCGTATCACAGAAAAATTAGCTTTCCCAACATCACATCAGTGGTGAATTCAAATCCAGAGCCCTGGTAATGCAGTGGTTAAAGCACTTAGCTGATAGATAACCAAAAGGTTGGCAGTTTGAACCCGCCAGCTCCACAGG